GCCGGGGGCGCGGCGGCGGGCGCGGGGGCGGCGGGCGCGGGCGCGGGCGGCCCGGGCGGGCGCGGCGAGTACGAGGAGCTGGGTGCCGTAGAGCAGCACGTGCGCTACGAGACCACGGGCCCGGCGCTTTGCACCGTAGTCTTCCTGCTCGTCTACTTCTTCGGCATGGCCAGCTCCATCTGGTGGGTGATCCTGTCGCTCACGTGGTTCCTGGCGGCGGGCATGAAATGGGGCAATGAGGCCATCGCCGGCTACTCGCAGTACTTCCACCTGGCCGCGTGGCTCGTGCCCAGCGTCAAGTCTATCGCCGTGCTGGCGCTCAGCTCGGTGGACGGCGACCCGGTGGCGGGCATCTGCTACGTGGGCAACCAGAGCCTGGACAACCTGCGCGGCTTCGTGCTGGCGCCGCTGGTCATCTACCTCTTCATCGGCACCATGTTCCTGCTGGCCGGCTTCGTGTCGCTCTTCCGCATCCGCTCGGTCATCAAGCAGCAGGGCGGCCCCACCAAGACACATAAGCTGGAGAAGCTCATGATCCGCCTGGGCCTCTTCACCGTGCTCTACACCGTGCCCGCCGCCGTCGTGGTCGCCTGCCTGTTCTACGAGCAGCACAACCGCCCGCGCTGGGAGGCCACGCACAACTGCCCGTGCCTGCGGGACCTGCAGCCGGACCAGGCGCGCCGGCCCGACTACGCCGTCTTCATGCTCAAGTACTTCATGTGCCTGGTGGTGGGCATCACGTCGGGCGTGTGGGTCTGGTCTGGCAAGACGCTCGAGTCGTGGCGCGCGCTGTGCACCCGCTGCTGCTGGGCCAGCAAGGGCGCGGGCGCGGCCGGCGCGGGCGCGGCGGGGGGCGGCCCCGGGGGCGGGGGCCCGGGGGCCGGCGGGGGCGTGGGGCCGGGCGGTGGGGCGGGCTCCCTGTACAGCGACGTCAGCACCGGCCTGACGTGGCGGTCTGGCACGGCCAGCTCCGTGTCTTATCCAAAGCAGATGCCATTGTCCCAGGTCTGAGCGGAGGGGAGGGGGCGTCCGGGAGGGCTGGAGAGGGGGCGAGGAGACCGAGTGTTGCGACGGGGGGGACACTCGGAGGCAGAGGGTCCCCCCCCTTCACCGTGTTGATTGCTATTAGCATGATAATGAACTCTTAATGGTATCCATTAGCTGGGACTAGCTTAGAACAAAGTACCTGGCATTGAAGGCTCCCAGCCCCAGCCCCCGTTCCTCCACCGACGGGCGAGGAATTCCTCCCGCCAGGCGTTAATTTGTCTTGGCAGAGGAGCGTGAGCTCTGCTGCCGCGTTTCCAGGACCCAAGGTTTGGAACCCGCGCTGGTTGCCATTTGCTGAGCTTGAAGCCAGACTTACAGATTTCACCTGAGGGACCTAGTTTCCGCCCTCGACTCTCCTGCGTAAACCCTCACCCTTAACACGTCCTAGAGGAGGGATGACCGCGACCTAATGGGATTGCACGGTTTGGGTATTCTTAATGACCAGGCAGATGCCTTAAGTAAACAAACAAGAAATGTCTTAATTATACACCCCAAGTAAATACGGGTTTCTTACATTAGAGGATGTATTTATATAATTATTTGTTAAATTGTAAAAATGTGTAAAATATGTACATATCCAAAGATATACAGTCTGTACATTTTCTGTAAAAAGTTAGAGGCCACCCCTGTAAGAACAAATATAAGTATTCTATTTTGGCAATAAAATGACTTTTGATAAATGATTTAAACATTGCCCTCTCCCCCTGCCTCTCCTAAACTGTTAAACCTTGAAAGTGCTTTTTGCTGAGGGCCCGTTGGAAACACGGACATTTGCTAGTTTCTCATTATGTACGCTGCCCTTAGGCATGGAGAAAATGACCTGTTAAACTCTAGTTCCTAAGTTGTTAGCAAAGTTGAAATATCACTATTGAACTGAAATCACAATTAAGATTTTGCACCTTTCCCGAGAAGGTGGTGTTTTTTGAATGGTAGCTCTTCTCTGATCCATGGGTAACAACACTCACCTTAGTGTATGTAAACGGAACTTTTGCAAGGCACTAATTCCACTCCGCCTTGTTATTTATCTTGTATGATATCACTAAAGGCTTCAGACTCCACGTTCATTTCTCACGTCTGTGATTCTGAAAGCACCTGCTCTTGCAGGACTGAACACACTGCTGAAGGGTAGGGTAGAGGTTAATGTTTTAAGCCATCGATCACACTTTACAGTGTAAGTCACTCGACAATTTGGTGGTAGAGCAGGCGCTCTTTACTGGATTAAACTAACGGGTTAACATCTTAATAACCTTCCAGGCTTGTGTATATCACATGTGCTGCTTTTCCTAGAGAAAAAGCTATTGTTCCTCTGTCAAGACTAAGCTAATTGATTTGAGCAGAAGGCTGTTGAATTAGCAGAAGAATGCTTTGGCAATTGTTGAACTTTTTACCTGTCTGCCTAGTGGCTCAGCACATCATTCCTTTAAGAGGAACCAAATGAATAGGGTTAATCTGTAGGGAACTTGGTCTTTTGAGTTTGAAAAACTTTGATCTTTTCTCCTCTCCAAATGTGCTGTATAGTCTGAAGTTTCTTTCCCTGCGGCCCGGCTCCTCTTGGTGCAGACCAATTGGCCACCGCGGAGCCTTAAAGTTCTTCCATTAAAGGGATGTGGGACTTTTACTTTAAAAAGGAGAGAGAGCGAGGGAGAGGAAGACTTGTAACAGTTAGTGAAGACCAGAGGCACAAGTGCGCGCAGCCTTTTAAACAGCTTTCCCCGGCATTGTTAGCCAGCCTGCAGGCAGCTAGGCATGGGTTGAAGCATTATAGAAAAGGGCTCTGAATGCCCTACAGGTGGTCTGTGCACATAATCCCCCAATTTAAAGCGTTTTCCTTTGCTGGACAATTGCATTACAAAACTCCCTTCTTTTTCGCTCCTAATTGAACCAATGAACTATTATAAACTACAAGTTTTTCGTAAAAAAAAAAAAGAGAAAACCTTCAGTGCCTAAATTCTATTGACTAAAATTCTGGCAAGTTTTCTGAACCGAACCTTTTAAAGCACCGGAAGTAAAAGCTTCTTCAGCAGACATTTCTCTTTTTCAGATATTTTTATTCCTCTTGCTTGTTATTTTCGGACAGATTAGCAATAATTTAAAAGTAATTGGTAAGGTTGTGTGTTCAGACTGAAAAGATAGCCCCAGGTCCCTTATTAACCTGTCAATCAAGATAAGAAATGGGCAGCTACCCTGCTAATGATGGGGGGCATCAAACATTGGGGGCTGGGTGGGGACTTGTTCACTGCATCCTGCTAAGAAGTTTGTTCTCTTTACTTCTCCTAATAGGAATATTTAGTGGTTCAAAAATTTTTTTCTTTTAATGAATAGGATGGAAACAACTACTTTGACTGGTCTTTGTCATGTAAGAGGCTTTTAAGGAGGGTTTCTCGGGAGAAACATTTTGCAAATCCTTTCCAGAGTCATTCTTGGTGTTAATTGGATTTTTAAAATTAGATATACGGGAAGAACACCTACTTTAGCTATCATGCCGATTATATATATTTTTTAAGTCAGAACCACTGTAAAATCTTCACCTCCTGGCAGTTTATATTAAAGAATTACTATTTTGTAACTTGGGTACCAGTGAGTGGCCTGCATCTAACCCATGGGGTGGCTCTCATGTGCTCTGTGTACATAAACCAGCCATAAACTTACACTTTCAGTTATAAAGTTTTAAAGGCAGTTCCCATAGGCTTTATCACGTATGTGAGAAGGAGAGACAGTTAAAAGACTAGTTAGCATATTGGTTTCCAAGTTTAGCAGGAGTCTCGCTATTGACATATTTTCAACTATGTGACGGTGGTAAAGGGTCAACTTTGAAGTTTTTTCCTTTACTAATTCTTCAGTATAGCCTTGTAAAATGCCACCTTTGATCACTTTTACAAAATGGCTACAATTCTGAGGACAGCTCTTAGGAGAAAGCTGCACGTGTCATCGCAGAGGCTGATTTTAGAGACTGAAAATGAAAACAGCGCTAGTTCCTTGAATTGCAAAGTTGCTAGTACCCAAAAGGTATCTATTAATGGGATTAAAGATTCCAAATAGGTTTGAGGAGTGGGAAAAGGGAGGAAGAGTATTTGGCCATCAGCGTTAGGTGAACATAGATGGATCCCTCACCAGGGCATGGAGCCAGTATGAGTTTCTGAAAATCTTGTCAAATATGGGGGGACGAGGAGGGGATAAGGTTACTGTGTGGCTAGAAGATCAATGTAAGTAAAGTCTAATATGGTTAAAAGCATTAGAAAACCCAAAGCTCATTAAAAGTACTTGTGGCAGAAGTTACGTGAAACACTTTCTTTTTGCTTTATAATGAATGCAATTTGAAAGTAACACAAAACAGAGGGGAAAGTGTATTAGAAGTTTAAGGAGCAAACTCTGTCACCATTACAGTGACACCTGTATTGATGTCACCTGCATTGATGACCTTAAAGGTTTCTGTAAGTCTTCCAAGTTAGAGGGAAGGAAATCGGATTGCTTTGCCAAAAGAAAAGTCACACATGGAGCCTCACACAGTTGTGAGCACAGGATGCAATTGAAAGCATAGTTACAAAATAGTCCCTCGAGATGCAGCACACAGCGCCCGCGGTGATCAACTTCCACACTTGATACAATACTGCCACCTGGCGATGCTGCAAAGTTCCAGAACCGGAGGATAGGCGGGCTCCCTCACTTCAATTCTTTCTACTGAGCCCCCCGCAGTGCAGGCCTGACCCCTGAACAGAAGGCCTGCAGCTATTTTGTATTCATAATTTTGAACTCTTTCTCTCAAGGAAAAGATTCCCCAACTGCATCCGTTTACAGCCCCAAGAGACCTCAGTTGAATTAAACCCTCGATACAACAGTTATGCGAAAAATCTAAGCTGGGTTGAAATCCAATGATAGGTCTTTTAAAAAATTGTCTTCTGAGTTACTTTTATTTCAAGAATGAGCAGCTCACCAAAGCTTCACCACACCAGAATTTAGTGGGAGAAAGAATAAATCGTGAAGACCATGTTGGGGGGAGCCATGCAGTCGGCTCGTTCGTTTCAGTACACGCCTTACCGTCTCCCACCAAGCAGTCCATCTGTGGAGTCTGGTGGATGCTCTCCAATGCCGCGCACGAACGCTGCTGGCTTGAGAGGGACGCAGGCTGTCCGCCATCGTCTAGCCAGGTGTTCGTGGAAGCACACCACAGAATAGAAACCGTGCCAGGATACAGGTCAGCCAAAGGGAAGAGAGGGGGAGGCGTCAGTTCTGGAATAGTTGAGCACAGCAGTGTGGGGAGACCAGGCCTGCGAGGAGGGCGTATAGAAAGGGACAGCTTCACGAAGCCCGTGTCTGAAGCCTTCTTGCTGCTGAAGGTCAGAATGATAGGGCCAGGTGGGAGGGGGTGGCACTGGTCAAGGGGAAGGGGACCAAAGAAGGTCTTAGAGGTCACCTGTGCGATCCTGGAGTTTTCAAGGGGTTATTGAGAACCTTGCTGCTCTGTGAACGAGGAAAAGCAGCGTGACCTAAGAATATGTGATGGAACGTGGAATCAGAAGTTGTGCTGTATCCAGACCCACAGCCGTTCCGCACGCACACGAAGGCGCCTCATTTTCAGGCCAGGAAACTGATGCCCGAAGCGGACCGGACTTGCCCAAGGTCATACAGCCAGGAGCAGAGCTGGGCTTAGAAGCCACAGATCCTACGTGTCACTCCTATTTCCCTAGGCCTTTCCCGCTGCCCTGGTGTCTGTGTAAGTCCCTGAGGCCACCAACCACCACGCGCATCCATCCCTGACATCAGCTCTCCTGGCCGTGTTCAGCCAGTCCCAGAATCCTACCAGAGTCCAGGTTTTCCATGGTCTGGTGCTGACCTACAGAGGAACATTCGAACACACAGCCTGAGAGGCTGCCCGGAGAGCTCCGGGAACGTTTGCCTCTCCGGCCCCTGGCCGACACGGGCCAGCTCACCTGCTCTGCACTGCCCACATTCACAGTAACACGATAATTGGCAGTGACTGGGAGGAAGGAAGGGGTCAGCGGCTGATGGAGTCACACCAGGGAGAGGGCCCCAAAGTGGGAGCACCATGCCCTGGTCAGCAGAGGCCTGGAACCTCCAGGAAGAAAGCGAAGCCGCTGGGTGCTGAAGAGCCAGGCCGGAGCAGCAAACAGAGAGTGTGGCTGAGCCCCGCGGAAATCTCCGGAGGGAGAGGACCAACGGGAAGGGAGATGAACTCAGCTGATTTAAACCACACGCTCCAGGAGATGCCCCAAGAGGCTGGTGGTACCCGGAATGGGGCGGCCAGAGAAGGATGGAGTGAAGGAGGACCGGCCAGGCAAGAGCAAAGTCAGGATAAATTTTAACTAAATGACCATGTTTTAATGGCTTTCCAAGCCTTGGGGAGAACCCTTATTCACCAAGGACAAAAGTACCTATTTATAGCACCTTATTTAATGCTCAGGTGAACCGTACACTAATTTAAATTAGAAAAACTATTTCCAACGTTCATCCTCTAACAAACCTGTTTCTAATTAACTAACACCCTGGCAGTAGCTCTCACCCCTGCCTACGTGCTAGAGGGGTGTTTCTTAAAAACACCACGTCCCGGCAGCACCCCAGACCAGGTGAACCAGAACTTCTGGGCATGGAATCTGGGCATTCAAAGTTTTCTCAGGCTACCCCAGGTGAATGATTCTCATGTGTAGGCAGAGTTGAAAGCCAGCGAACTGCAATTGAAGGTGACGTTATGATCTAGAGCGAAACAAAATACAACTAGAAGTTGACTAAGCAAAGTGCTGCTGCCATCCAGTTTAACTAATTGAAATGGGAGTGGTTATTTTTTTCGCCTTAAGTAAATATTTGGGAGAG